ATAAGGAGGAAAAACCAATAGAAAATAAAAAAAGCAGAATTGTTTAAAAAATCCAATAGTGTTTCCTGCCAAGACCGCTAAATCGGCCTTATTGAACACTTTAATTCCAGTAATATACTGGATGTTTTTTTAGAGTTCAGCGGTATCGGGATTTAGAGAAAAACCCGGGATCGAAATTTAGGAATAGTCATCCCGATCCCGGATCCCGACACGGGAGCGGGATTAGACGAAATCGGGATCGGGATTTGGACTGGAGATCCCGATCCCGGTCCCGATCCCGAATCGGGACCGGGATTGAAAAATCGGGATCGGGATTTACTAAAAAAATTTTTTTTAATTTTTATTTTCTTCACATACGACTCAGTATAATTCTAAAATTGCCGCTGCGGTGCTGAAATATAGAGTTTAAGTCTCATAAACACATAATTTACTTTCCGGTTGGGGATTATGGGGAGATAAGGGGATTAAGGGAGATAATGTAGGGGATTAGAGGAGATAAGGTAATGGGGGGGATAAATGGGATTGGGCTTCTATTTTAAGCGCCGTAGGCTAAAATTTTGAAAAATTTGGAAGGCCAAGGTGCCAGATTTCCTCCCTTTTAAGCGTCGCAGGCAACATTTTTTTAATTTTGGAAGGCCAAGGGCATTCAAGTCTAATTCAAGTCTAACGATTAAGTGCGTTACGCTAAAACGTGGACGATTAAGAACTGACATTGAGGTATTAAGTGATATATTCATTTAGCAATATCTCTTAAGCCCTCGATTTCTCTTCAAATCTAACTCAATCCCTGTAAATCCACCGATACTCCTCTCAATCCCTCTTGATCCCTCGATATCACACCAAATCACTCAATATTTCATTAAAGTTGTAAAGACAGCTTTGTTCATTTTTGCGGCGCCGCAGACGAAAATTTTGAGATTTTGGATGTCAACATGCCAAATTTTTTCCATTTTCTGCGCCGCAGGCGAAAATTTTTCTTACTTTCATGCCTCTCCTCTTTTGTTAACTTTATTTCACAGACTTCTAGTCAATTTATAAAGTCGGGATTTGCATCGGGATCTGATGCACATCCCGATCCCGGATCCCGGCTCGGGATTGAGAATGACCGGGATCGGGATATTTATTTCGGGACCGGGATCAGAAAAATCGGGATCGGGATTCGAAAAACCCGGGATAATCCCGCCCGATCCCGACCGGGATCCCGATCCCGCTGAACTCTAGTTTTTTTGGATGTTTTTAATATGTATAAGGAACGCCTCAATTTTCTGAATCTGAGTTTTTCCTCAATAATTCCCTTGATTCACTATAGAATTGCAACAGTCTAGAATCTAAAAATATTTTTTTAATTCAATTTGGATATATTTAGAAAAATCCATACAAATTGAACAAGCCCATTACGTTTCTGAATCGGCATTACTCGGTCATACCCAATATATTGGGTATTTTCTTGTAAATATTTCTCTTGATTTAAACCCATTTCACTAACCAAAAAAGGGTTAATAATTATTTGTTCAAGTTTTTTCTGAATTTCGTTGTCCAACCCTTCGTATAATTGATAAAATGTTTGGTGTATATTTGAATTATATTTTCCGAAAATTGTGTAGCATTCATTGGTTGTCAACACGTCATCAGTTGCTAAAATTTTAAAATTTTTTTTGATTATTTATGGACTTTTGCCTATGAACACACGCAAACTCATGTTTTTCTAATATAAAAAGATGTGGGGAGATAAAATATAAGTATAAAAGTACTAAAAATAGTCTACTTTTGCATTTTTCCTGGATTTTCAGACCCCTGAAAATCTGGGAACCATAAGTGGAACCAAGCTGATTTTTGGGGTCAAAATTCGAATATGCAAATGATAGCTCATTCGAAATAGCTCCTCGAGCTGAGTTGAATGACACCAAAATCAGCTCGATTGGATGATTATGAACAAAGTTATGATCAACAGAATCTTCGCAGGTAAAACTGTTTTTGTGCTGCTACGGAGGTTGAAAAAGTTCGATAGTTGAAAAAGTTGATAAAAATAGTTTAGCTGGTAAAAAGTTTATTAAATAGTTGATAGTTCGTAAAATGTCTTAGATATGTAAAAAGTCTGAAATCTGTATAAATTTCTGAGATCTGTATGTTTAATTGTGAGAGGTCAGTAAAAAATTTTTTATATCAGACTATAAACGTTGTTTTAAAATAATTACCAAAATGAAGATATAATAAACGGAAATGTGTTTGCACAATCATATCAGTATCAGGGTTAAAAGTAGCTGGGAATATTGTGTTTTCATAACTATTTTCCGCTTCTTGAAGGAACATTAACATTCTTTCCCTTACTAAAATTTCATAAAAAATCTTTTTAATTTTTATTTTTCCCTTACTATATTTAATTCCTCTATATTCAAAATAAACATTCTCTCTTTGGAAAATACTCAATTGTTTCAGTATTTCCATCCAATTATTTGCTTTAATTTCCAATTCATCATAAGCTTTAATATAGCTTAGAATTGAAATCTTCTCTCTAAATTAGGTAATTTTAATTTTAAATAACTAATAAAAAATACTTTAAAAAATCACTATATCCATTATCTCTCATCAATTGCCAAAAATTCAACAAAATATTATCATAATAATTTGGATTTTCTTTATAAAACAATCTAAATAAATGAATTATCCTTCTAGCAAAAGCAAATAAATGCCAAATAATGAAAATATTTTTTTCAGAATCTTTTATTTTTCTCAGATGGCCTGATATTTGGGTTATTGCTGTTATACTAAATATAAATTAAAATATTAGATCAGTTAATTATTACCCTTTTCCAGACAAAAATGACATAGCATTATTGTACAATTTATCAGCTGAGATGTTAGGATCATTATCACAGTCTTTTAAAGCTTTCTTAAATTTGAATTTTTCAGATATCAAAAACTTATATTTATCTATATCCATTGTTAAACTTAAATCTTTCATTCTATTCACAATAAGTTCGATTTTAGCTTCTTTAGCATTGCGATAAACAGGAATTAATTCATTTAACAGACAGGTGTAGTAAAATATAACCTTTAAATTTAATGAAATTAGTTTTTAAATAAAGGGATTGATTAGGATGTCTAGAATCGTAGAAAATCTTTGATTATATGACCGGAACGAAAAATGTCTTTATCTGTAAATACTAATTTTAAATACATAATTTAAGGTAATGCTTTAATTTTTGTCCAGCTCGTGGTCTATTTATATGTACGCAAAAGGCATTTTGCGAAAATTAATTTCACATCTTTTAATTTTTACAAATTTTTCTCTTTCTTGTAATTTTCCTGATTCATTAAATTATGTGTTGTTAGTTTACGAATAATTATGCGAACATATGTATAGTCCACGAGTTAGACTACCATTGTAATGTAACCAATAACTAGACATGATAATTGTTAGCCAAACTTCCCTTCTTAATAAAACGATTGGTATATAATAATGCTAGATAAACTATTTTAAAGTTTGTTAATATTTTTTCAGAAAATGGAATAAACTGATAGGTCATAGCTAAAACTCCGACTTATTTTCAAAATTACCTGATTTAATTTACGAAATGTTTCGTGGACAACTTGAGAATTAATTAAATTTTCATCATAAAATCCAGAAATATATTTATCCTTGTAATGATTAATTATTATATGTAAATCTACTTCTGGATTACTTATAATTGTTGTAAACTCAATATTACGTAATATTTGTACCAAAATGGTCAATTCAATCAAAGAAAAATTTAATTCAAGAAATGCAGCTGCTGGAGCAGTCTCTTTTCCTTTTCCTCGTGATGAGCCTTCAATTTGTTGTTTTCCTTTAGTACGGCCTTAATAATTTATTCTATCAATTTAAAACACTAAACAAATCAGAGGTCATCTAACTTAGAGTAGCTAAAGAACAAACTTAATCGAATTTAAATACAAAGCCAAGAAACTTTAAGACCATCCCAAGTTTTGACATTAGGTTTGTTAAAAAAAATCTACAAAAATTCACATACTTATTTTGCATTTTTTCGGATTTTAGTGCAAATTTTGGCAGTTTTTAGTGCCTATATTGGCGCCTATTTTTAACTTTTTACTGTATAAAAATCCTAAATCTATTAATTAGTATTGATTAGATTTCTAGGATATAACCTTACTCCTGCAAATATTATAATTAAAGCCCGGATAGTTAGGCAATAAAAACTGTGAAATAGGCACTAAAATAGGCACTAAAAAGCCAAAAAAGGCACAAAAATAGGCACGTAAAAAAGGTTATCAGGCCTATAAAATTAAGAAAAAAGCAAGAAAATATCCATTTATTCATCATTTTTTTAATTACAAACTATTTATTAAACTCTTTTGTCATTTATTAGACCTTTTGAATAAATCTGGGGTGATTTTTTAGATTTTGCACTAATTTTTAGGCAAAATTTAGGAAAAATCGGTAAAAAAGGCAAAAATAGTACCGAAAATTCCAAAATAGGCAAAAAGGCTAAAAAAGTCCAAAATAGGACTTTCGAAAAATGAAAACCTATAGATGTTTGGGGTGAAAAATTCGAATATTAATAATAGTTTATTTTTTCCAATCTATGTCTCGGACGACCGACCTAGAGACTTGATCCACAAAAAATAGGCTCATTATACACCCTAAGGAATAAATTTTTTGTAAAAATTTTCTAAGAAGGAAGTTGTACACTCCCTCCATATTCATAAGATACTAGAGTACCGAATCAAATATTAAGTCCGCTCCAATCCCGCACCTAGGCTGTTAGTGAATGTAAATTGAGGTCCGCTTATGATAAAAATCTATTGCAATCAAATTCTAAGAAATTTAATTTTAAAAGACTTACCGCGATCCATTCCATCCGTAAAAAGTATTTGAAATTGGTTTATGACAAAATAAAATAACATAAACAAAAGGAATTTTTTCATTTTTTGAAAACTTTAAGTGTTTTCTGTAGAAAAGAAATTAAAGAAAAACTTTAAAATATCATTAAAATATTACATTAAAAATAGCTACTGTTCTCATAAATAGCTACAGTGTTTATTACCCTCCTCAAAGGTAAATTGTAAAAGTAATTATGTGAAATCGGATCTTCAGGCCGCCAACATTGGGCACGAACCTGCCCACTATTACGGACAAATCTTGGGTTGCACATGTTGAAGTAAGAAAAAGCTATTCACCCCAACTTCTTTAAAATTTTGTAAAAAAATATATGTAAATGAATGAATATAACAACAAAATAACTGGCTTAAATGCTAACAGAATTGAAAGATGGATGCGCACCGAGTCTCGCAATATAAATAAGCCCGCCCACAAATTATTAAACAAATGAGTCTCAAAATAAAAATCAAGTTTGCTCTAAAATATTTATTTGTTAAGATAAAGAAATTATTGTTTAGTTAATTCAATTATTATTTAAAATATTGTTTTGTATTATCAAAAAACTCTCCTTATAACAATTGTTAATTAAATTTATTGGAACTCTAATGTTCTTTGATGGATATAAGCTTACGTGTATACATGATATATTTACAAGCTATCCCCATGATTTGACCTTTTTAATTTTTTAAAATTAAATGAACTAATGTTGGCAATTAATGATTTTGAAAGATTCTCTCTCCTCATTGAGATTAATTAGGAGAGAGAGAAAATGATTTTAATTGCTGTTGTGTCCGCACTTGCAGAAAGAACATAAATGAAAATAAATAACCCAACATCGGGTTGGATGGTGGCACAGTCGGTTGTGCTTTCGATTTGGGCTCATTCCGTGATGGTTCAATTCCATCTCCCATCCACAATTTTTCCACAGCATGAACTTCTCGTATAAATGTTTCGTGGACAACTTGAGAATTAATTAAATTTTCATCATAAAATCCAGAAATATATTTATCCTTGTAATGATTAATTATTATATGTAAATCTACTTCTGGATTACTTATAATTGTTGTAAACTCAATATTACGTAATATTTGTACCAAAATGGTCAATTCAATCAAAGAAAAATTTAATTCAAGAAATGCAGCTGCTGGAGCAGTCTCTTTTCCTTTTCCTCGTGATGAGCCTTCAATTTGTTGTTTTCCTTTAGTACGGCCTTAATAATTTATTCTATCAATTTAAAACACTAAACAAATCAGAGGTCATCTAACTTAGAGTAGCTAAAGAACAAACTTAATCGAATTTAAATACAAAGCCAAGAAACTTTAAGACCATCCCAAGTTTTGACATTAGGTTTGTTAAAAAAAATCTACAAAAATTCACATACTTATTTTGCATTTTTTCGGATTTTAGTGCAAATTTTGGCAGTTTTTAGTGCCTATATTGGCGCCTATTTTTAACTTTTTACTGTATAAAAATCCTAAATCTATTAATTAGTATTGATTAGATTTCTAGGATATAACCTTACTCCTGCAAATATTATAATTAAAGCCCGGATAGTTAGGCAATAAAAACTGTGAAATAGGCACTAAAATAGGCACTAAAAAGCCAAAAAAGGCACAAAAATAGGCACGTAAAAAAGGTTATCAGGCCTATAAAATTAAGAAAAAAGCAAGAAAATATCCATTTATTCATCATTTTTTTAATTACAAACTATTTATTAAACTCTTTTGTCATTTATTAGACCTTTTGAATAAATCTGGGGTGATTTTTTAGATTTTGCACTAATTTTTAGGCAAAATTTAGGAAAAATCGGTAAAAAAGGCAAAAATAGTACCGAAAATTCCAAAATAGGCAAAAAGGCTAAAAAAGTCCAAAATAGGACTTTCGAAAAATGAAAACCTATAGATGTTTGGGGTGAAAAATTCGAATATTAATAATAGTTTATTTTTTCCAATCTATGTCTCGGACGACCGACCTAGAGACTTGATCCACAAAAAATAGGCTCATTATACACCCTAAGGAATAAATTTTTTGTAAAAATTTTCTAAGAAGGAAGTTGTACACTCCCTCCATATTCATAAGATACTAGAGTACCGAATCAAATATTAAGTCCGCTCCAATCCCGCACCTAGGCTGTTAGTGAATGTAAATTGAGGTCCGCTTATGATAAAAATCTATTGCAATCAAATTCTAAGAAATTTAATTTTAAAAGACTTACCGCGATCCATTCCATCCGTAAAAAGTATTTGAAATTGGTTTATGACAAAATAAAATAACATAAACAAAAGGAATTTTTTCATTTTTTGAAAACTTTAAGTGTTTTCTGTAGAAAAGAAATTAAAGAAAAACTTTAAAATATCATTAAAATATTACATTAAAAATAGCTACTGTTCTCATAAATAGCTACAGTGTTTATTACCCTCCTCAAAGGTAAATTGTAAAAGTAATTATGTGAAATCGGATCTTCAGGCCGCCAACATTGGGCACGAACCTGCCCACTATTACGGACAAATCTTGGGTTGCACATGTTGAAGTAAGAAAAAGCTATTCACCCCAACTTCTTTAAAATTTTGTAAAAAAATATATGTAAATGAATGAATATAACAACAAAATAACTGGCTTAAATGCTAACAGAATTGAAAGATGGATGCGCACCGAGTCTCGCAATATAAATAAGCCCGCCCACAAATTATTAAACAAATGAGTCTCAAAATAAAAATCAAGTTTGCTCTAAAATATTTATTTGTTAAGATAAAGAAATTATTGTTTAGTTAATTCAATTATTATTTAAAATATTGTTTTGTATTATCAAAAAACTCTCCTTATAACAATTGTTAATTAAATTTATTGGAACTCTAATGTTCTTTGATGGATATAAGCTTACGTGTATACATGATATGTTTACAAGCTATCCCCATGATTTGACCTTTTTAATTTAAAATTAAATGAACTAATGTTGGCAATTAATGATTTTGAAAGATTCTCTCTCCTCATTGAGATTAATTAGGAGAGAGAGAAAATGATTTTAATTGCCAACATTAGTTCATTTAATTTTAAAAATTTAAAAAGGTCAAATCATGGGGATAGCTTGTAAACACAGACATATCATGTAATGTACACGTAAGCTTATATCCATCAAAGAACATTAGAGTTCCAATAAATTTAATTTAAAATTGTTATAAGAAGAGAATTTTGATAATACAAAACAATACTTACAAGCTCAGATATTTATGTGTAAAAACTTAAAAATAGATACCTAAATATTTAAAAAACGCTGAAATAGTCGACAAAAGTCCTATAATAGGTTTAAAGGAGAGAAAATTTTTCAAAAATGAGAAATAGTTTTCAAAAAAAGGTCGATATGGGCAAAAAAGGTCTTCAAATCTTTGAAAATTCTACAAGATTATTGAATATCACTACAATAGTCACGTATTTTAAATATTATTTACGCTTAAAAATTAATTTAATTTTTCTCAAAATTATTTTCTCTCTCTATCTGCAAATTAATCTCAATGAGGAACGAGAATCTTTCAAAATCATTAATTGCCAACATTAGTTCATGTAATTTTAAAAATTTAAAAAGGTCAAATCATACGGATAGCTTGTAAACACATACATATATTTGTAAGTATTGTTTTGTATTATCAAAATTCTCTTCTTATAACAATTTTAAATTAAATTTATTGGAACTCTAATGTTCTTTGATGGATATAAGCTTACGTGTACATTACATGATATGTCTGTGTTTACAAGCTATCCCCATGATTTGACCTTTTTAAATTTTTAAAATTAAATGAACTAATGTTGGCAATTGTTGTGTCCGCACTTGCAGAAAGAATATAAATGAAAATAAATAACCCAGCATTGGGTTGGATGGTGGCACAGTCGGTTGTGCTTCGGTTTGGGCTCTTTCCGTGATGGTTCAATTCCATCTCCCATCCACAATTTTTCCACAGCATGAACATCGTATACAATAATGGTGCAACGACCCGCCGGGCATAGCCCGAGGAAACTTTAGCGAACCGTCATGCTGTGATGATCTGACATGCTTTAACTGTCTAGAGAAATAAGGAGAAGACCCTGTGAGTATAGCCTGAGCTGTGTGCGGGCAGAAATTAAGGCGTAAGACTCTGTGTGAGCAGCCAGAGAAAGCGTAAGACTCTGTGTGAGCAGCTAGAGAGAAGCGTAAGACTCTGAGTGAGCAGCTAGAAAAAAAAACCCCACAAATGGGTTTCTGTGTGCTCTCTCCCAAAAATCAAAAACAGTTGATAGTTATAGAAGACAAGCAACAAGCGAGGACGCTTGGTTTCGCAAGGCGGAAGGAGTGTTGTGTCCGCACTTGCAGAAAGAACATAAATGAAAATAAATAACCCAACATCGGGTTGGATGGTGGCACAGTCGGTTGTGCTTTCGGTTTGGGCTCATTCCGTGATGGTTCAATTCCATCTCCCATCCACAATTTTTCCACAGCATGAGAACATCGTATACAATAATGGGCTATGCCCGGCGGGTCGTTGCACCATTATTGTATACGAGAAGTTCATGCTGTGGAAAAATTGTGGATGGGAGATGGAATTGAACCATCACGGAATGAGCCCAAATCGAAAGCACAACCGACTGTGCCACCATCCAACCCGATGTTGGGTTATTTATTTTCATTTATGTTCTTTCTGCAAGTGCGGACACAACAGCAATTAAAATCATTTTCTCTCTCTCCTAATTAATCTCAATGAGGAGAGAGAATCTTTCAAAATCATTAATTGCCAACATTAGTTCATTTAATTTTAAAAAATTAAAAAGGTCAAATCATGGGGATAGCTTGTAAATATATCATGTATACACGTAAGCTTATATCCATCAAAGAACATTAGAGTTCCAATAAATTTAATTAACAATTGTTATAAGGAGAGTTTTTTGATAATACAAAACAATATTTTAAATAATAATTGAATTAACTAAACAATAATTTCTTTATCTTAACAAATAAATATTTTAGAGCAAACTTGATTTTTATTTTGAGACTCATTTGTTTAATAATTTGTGGGCGGGCTTATTTATATTGCGAGACTCGGTGCGCATCCATCTTTCAATTCTGTTAGCATTTAAGCCAGTTATTTTGTTGTTATATTCATTCATTTACATATATTTTTTTACAAAATTTTAAAGAAGTTGGGGTGAATAGCTTTTTCTTACTTCAACATGTGCAACCCAAGATTTGTCCGTAATAGTGGGCAGGTTCGTGCCCAATGTTGGCGGCCTGAAGATCCGATTTCACATAATTACTTTTACAATTTACCTTTGAGGAGGGTAATAAACACTGTAGCTATTTATGAGAACAGTAGCTATTTTTAATGTAATATTTTAATGATATTTTAAAGTTTTTCTTTAATTTCTTTTCTACAGAAAACACTTAAAGTTTTCAAAAAATGAAAAAATTCCTTTTGTTTATGTTATTTTATTTTGTCATAAACCAATTTCAAATACTTTTTACGGATGGAATGGATCGCGGTAAGTCTTTTAAAATTAAATTTCTTAGAATTTGATTGCAATAGATTTTTATCATAAGCGGACCTCAATTTACATTCACTAACAGCCTAGGTGCGGGATTGGAGCGGACTTAATATTTGATTCGGTACTCTAGTATCTTATGAATATGGAGGGAGTAAACAACTTCCTTCTTAGAAAATTTTTACAAAAAATGTATTCCTTAGGGTGTATAATGAGCCTATTTTTTGTGGATCATGACTCTAGGTCGGTCGTCCGAGACCTACATAGATTGAAAAAAATAAACTATTATTAATATTCTAATTTTTCACCCCAAACATATATGGTTTTCATTTTTCGGGCGTCCGTATTCATTTCATAGTTGAAACCGCTTGTAATTTGGTATCATTCTACATACTTAACTAACTCATTCGAATGACATACATACATATATCTTTAACTACCTAATCGATATCTGGGCCCTCGAAACAAGTTTTAGCAATGAATCTAATAAAAGTTATGTAACCTGGGATTTGTTTATATACTTTATTTAACCAATAAAATATTAAGGACATGCTAAAGGAAAACAAGTAATGGAGGGCGCTTCAAGAACGAAAGGAAAAGAAATTGTACAGTGTTTTCAAAAAGCTGAATTTATTAAATTAGATTTTTCTCTTGTTGAATTAACCATTTTAGTACAAATATTGAGTAATATTGAGTTTACTAAAATTATTAGTAATCCAGATGAGGATTTAAATAATGTAATTCAATATTACAAGAATCAATATATTTCTGGATTTAATGATCCAAATTTAATTAATTCTCCGTTGATTCAAGGAACATTTGTTAAGCTGAACCAGGTAAAGTTGAATAGAAGTAAAAGGAAAATTAATCTACTTAAGTAGGGATGGGGAGGGTGGGGATATTAATAAAGTACCAATAATGTTATCGACAATTGTAAAATATTTTAAGTATTTAACATATTTGTCAGATTCCAAAAAACCAAATATTTTTAATTACTCGACACTGAAATATTTTTTGGTTTATACACGGATATTATATGTAAGATATTCAAAGAATGGAGATATCTTTAAGTAATCCCATTAAATTTTCTTCAATTTAAAGGTTATTTTTTACTACAATTGCCTGTTAAATGAAATAAAAATTCCTTTCCAAGAGAATAAAACATATAAACTTGAACTTATTAAAAATAGAATGAAGGATTTAAGTTTAACAATGGATAAAAATAATTATATTGAGATATTTAGAAATAAAAGGTTCAGAGTTTTGAGAATTTTAACTGATATTCCTGGTTATCCAAATGTTTCAGTTAAAACTATTTATAATCAATTTATGAACGATTTGGGTACTATAAGGTAATTAATTATTCAAACGAATATTTCAATTTATATTTAGTGAAAAAACAATAAAGGAAATGTCCGGCTATTTGAGATATATATATAATTCAGAGAAAAATATTTTCATTATTTGGCATTTATTTGCTTTTGCTAGAATGAGAATTCATTCATTTAGATTGTTTTATAAACAATATCCACAATATTATGATGGTATTTTGTTCAATATTTGGCAAAGTATGAAACAATATGGATTCAAATCTTTTTTACAGTTTTGTTTAATAATTTAATTTTTTTAATTTAAATTTAAAATTACCTAATTTAGGCAAAAGATTTCAATTCTAAGCTATATTAAAGCTTATGATGAATTGGAAATTAAAGCAAATAATTGGATGGAAATATTAAAACAATTGAGTATATTTGAAAGAGAAAATGTTGCATTTATGTATAAAGGAATTGAATATAGTAGGAAAAAATTAGAAATAAGAAATTATTTTTAAATTTTTAGCAAGGGAAAGAATGTTAATGTCCCTTCAAGAAGCTGAAAATAGTCAAGAAAACATAATATTTCCAGCTTTTTTTATGCCTGATAAAGATGTGAATTTGCAAACACACTATCATTTATTATATCTTCATCCTGGTAATCGTTTTAAAATCATCTTTGCAATGTTTGATAATTAAACAAAAGTTTATAAGTAGGGTTGCAGTTTTCGAGTCGGGCCGACGGTCGAGGCATTTTTTTCGGGCTTGTTTTTAACGAGTCGGGCCGGTACGAGTCTTTTTCGGGCCTAACTTTATCGAGTCGGGCCTGTACGAGTCGGGCCCATTTTTGTTTACAAATCTGGTAAAAATATTATCTGGCCAACTTTTTCCGAGACAATTTTTTTCGGGCCTGTTTTTATCGAGAGGGCCGGTACGAGACTTTTTCGGGCCAAACATCTAGGCTTACGGGAAGATTTTTAAATCAAAGAAACTAATATCTGAAAAAATTTATTTTCTTGGCTAAAAACAAAATTAAAAAGAAAAAAGTACATTTAAACCATAAATTATTCACTATTAAATTTAAATTAACATTGTAAATTCAAAAATAATCTTTAAAATTTTAGCAACAGATGGCGTATTGACAAGCAATGAATGCTACACAATTTACGGAAAATATAATTCAAATACTCAACAAACATTTTATCAATTATTTGAAGGTTTGGACAACGAAATTCAGAAAAAACTTGAACAAATAATTATTAACCCTTTTTTGGTTCATGAAATGAGTTTAAATCAAGAGGAATATTTACAAGAAAATACTCAACATATTGGGTATGACCGAGTAATGCCGATTCAGAAACGTCATAGGCTTGTTCAATTTGTATGGATTTTTTAAAATATATGAAAATTAAATTTAAAAAATATTTTTAGATTCTAAACGGTTGCAATTTAATTGTGAATCATGGGAATTATTGAGGAAAAATTTGGATTAAGAAAATTCAAAAGATGATTCTTTTAAAATTTTTCATTTATTTATTGCTAGGGCCGGGAAATATATGCAAATTCATGTTTTGTTTAGTAATACTATCATAAGAAAATTCAAAAATGATTGTCAATTTATTTTAGGACATAGTTGAGATGATGTTTTTGCATATTTCAGCATTTCGTGCATTTTTTGGGAGATTTTTTCGTATTCCTTGTTCAAAAATATATTCCAAAATTTTCATTTTATTTATCTCTGATATCTTTTTTATCAAAAAAGGAAAAATTTTACAACCGGAAAATAATTAAAATAGAGGTATAATTGGGCCTTTTTTGTTAAATAATGAGTTAAAGCCCCAAACAGAAAATTAAGATTTTACCTCTAATTTAAATTTATTTTTCCTTTTGATTTACAAACATATATAAAAACATCCAGTATATTACTGGCAACTTTTAAAGTGTTCAATGTGGCCGATTTAGCGGTCTTGGTAGGAAACACTAAATGTAGTTTTTAGCTTTATTTTCTGATATTTATCATTAAATTGTTTTTATTTTAAACAAATGTTGATAAATTGAAGAAAATTTGGTTTTTTTTTAATTTTTTAAAAATCTAATATGAAAATGAGATCTGGAGGAATCTGGAGGAATTTATCAAGTAAATAACCTGCTTTTTTTATTTTTCTTTCTTTATATTTTTACTGATTTTATTGTGTTGGAGAGTCAATAACAGACATTTTAAGTGGTAACAATAAAAACAGAAAGGTATTTTTTCTTTCTTTTACATCAAGTTTTTGTCAATTTAATTATCATTTATTTATTAAAAGGCTTTTGGCACACACATCAAAAGCCCAGTAAAGTCTATTTTAATAAATTACTATTATTATACTTTACAATAATATTAATTTATTAAAATACAAAGGAATGTTTCGACATGTTTTCCGAATATACTAATCGAAAAATTCGTAGAAAATAAAAACATTTGTAAGCTTTAGATAAAAATTTCTCCAGAAATCAACATATTCTTTAAAGATGCTTTCAATTTCTTTTTGAATTTTGGTTTTCAAAGTTTTATTTACTAATTTAATCTACAACTCACTTATTAACTTTTAAATTCCTGACTCTTAATCATTTTTAATGGTAACCATCTTTGCCTTTCTTTACTATCTATGGACTTCTTTGTCAGTTTACCTTTACCGTAAATGTTAAATAATTATCATAGGTAATTATTACTCAACGTCACAATGGAGGGGTTATTTAATCGAGAGGGGCAATTAGTTGAGTATATACGGTAATTTTTAATAAAGGTATTTTAAGGAGGAGGATTAAAAAATTTATTTTTTTTTATTTTGCTTTTGAATAAATAATATCTTTAAAAATTTACTATATTTTCAACATAACATCTTTTTATATTTCTTAATTTTTTAGTTTTAATAAAATAAAAAAAAAAACAAATTTTCTTCAATTTATTGACATTTGTTTAAAATAAAAACAATTTAATGATAAATATCAGAAAATAAAGCTAAAAACTACATTTAGTGTTTCCTACCAAGACCGCTAAATCGGCCTCATTGAACACTTTAAAAGTTGCCAGTAATATACTGGACGTTTTTATATATGTTTGTATATCAAAAGGAAAAATAAATTTAAATTAGAGGTAAAATCTTAATTTCTGTTCGGGGCTTTAACTCATTATTTAACAAAAAGGCCCAGATATACCTCCAATTAATTATTTCCCAGTTGTAAAATTTTTCCTTTTTTGAAAAAAAAGATTTCAGAGATAAATAAAAGGGAATTTTGGAAATATTTTTAAGCAAGAAATACCAAAAAAGTTCCCAAAAAATGCATGAAAGGCTGAATTATGCAAAAACATCATCTTAACTATGTCCTCAAATAAATTGACAAACATTTTTGAGTTCTCTAATGCTAGTATTACTAAACAAAACATGAATTTGCATATATTTCCAGGCCCTAACAATAAATAAAGGATAAATCAAAAAAAAGAATATAATCTTTTGAATTTTCTTAATCCAAATTTTTCCTCAATAATTCCCTTGCTTCACAATTAAATTGCAAGCGTTTAGAATCTAAAAATATTTCTTTTATTTCTAATTAATATTTTAAAAAATCCATACAAATTGAACAAGCTTATGACGTTTCTGAATCGGCATTACTCGGTCATACCCAATATGTTAAGTATTTTCTTGTAAATATTCCTCTTGATTTAAACTCATTTCACGAACCAAAAAAGGGTTAATAATTATTTGCTCAAGTTTTTTCTGAATTTCGTTTTCCAAACCTTCATATAATTGATAAAATGTTTGTTGTATATTTAAATTATATTTTTGAAAAATTGTGTAGCATTCATTGCTTGTCAATACGCCATCAGTTGCTAAAATTTTAAAGATCATTTTTGAATTTACAATGTTAATTTAAATTAAATAGTGAATAATTTATGGTTTAAATGAACTTTCTTCTTTTAGTTTTGTTTTTAGGCTAAGAAAATAAATTTTTTCGGATATTAGTTTCCTTGACAGATAAATGACTCCCAGAAGTCATGTTGGTCGGAGCAGTATTTTCTAAAATATAGTAATTGCTAGGCTCATTATTTCTTTATATATTTCTTTTTGAAAAATACTTTATTATGTAAATATAATTATATAATCTGAACATATAAACTTTTGTTTCATTATATCCAACACAACAAAAAATATTTTAAAACTACTACCATTATGAAGATATAATAAACTGTAGTGAGAATGCACAATCACATCAGCATCATGCATAAAATAAGCTGGAAATATTACGTTCCCACTACTGTTTTCAGCTTCTTGAAGGGACATTAACATTCTTTCCCTTGCTAAAAAATTAAAAATAATTCTTATTTCTAATTTTTTCCTACTATATTCAATTCCGTTATACATAAATTCAACATTTTCTTTTTGAAAAATACTCAATTGTTTTAATATTTCCATCCAATTATTTGCTTTAATTTCCAATTCATCATAAGCTTTAATATAGCTTAGAATTGAAATCTTCTCTCTAAATTAGGTAATTTTAAATTTAAATTAAGTAACAAAGACAAACTTTAAAAAAACATTGTAGCCGTGTTGGTTGTTGAATTGCCAAATACCCTCCAAAATATTATCATAATATTTTGGATTCTGCCCATAAAACAATATAAAAGATTGAATTCTCATTCTAGCAAATGCAAATAAATGCCAAATAATGAAAATATTTTTTTCCGAATTTTTTATTTTTCTCAAATGGCCGGAAATTCTAACTATTTCTTTTTCACTAAATATAAACTAAAATAATATTTTAATTAAATCAAGTACCTTTTATTACCCAAAAATTCCATCAAATGATTATAAATAGTTTCAACTGAAACATTTGGATAATCAGGAATTCCGTTTAAAACATTCACAAATTTAAGATATTCAAATACTCCAATATAATTATCTTTATCCATTGTTAAACTTAAATCTTTCATTCTATTTTTAATAAATTCAAGTTTAATCTGATTAGTTTTATCCTTTTGGGAAGGAATTTTTATTTCAACTACCAGAAAATTGTAGTAAACAATAACCTTTAAATTGAAGAAAATTGTTTTTAATATGAGATTACTTAAATATATCACGTTTTTTAACTATCTCATGATATCCGGATATAAACCGAAAAATATTTTTTCAGTTCGTGTCGATTCATTAAAAATTTTTAGTTTTAGGAACTGACCAAAATATGTTAAATACTCTTAATAATTTACTATTCTGGATAAAAATATTTTTAGGTACGACAATATTTTTCTAGAAACAGCATAAAAATATTAATAGTTTAAAGCAAAGTTGCAACTTTCATTTAACTCTACCTGATTCAGTTTATCGAATGTTCTTCGAAAAACCGGAGAATTAATAAATTCGGAACATTAAATCCAGAAATATATTGTTTCTTGTAATATTGAATTACTTTAGGTAAATCTTCGTCTGGATTACTAATAATTACAGTAAGTTCAATATTACGCAATATTTGCACTAAAATGGTCAATTCAACAAGAGAAAAATTTAGTTTAGGAAATTCAGGTTTTTGAAAACTTTGAGCAATTTCTTTTCCTTTCCTTCTTGATGGTTCCTCCATTACTTGTTTTTCATGTCCTTGATATTTTATTGTTTAAGTAAAATTTATAAACAAATCCCATGTTACTTAACTTTGACTAGATTCTT